TACGGAATGTGGGTGTCCCAAAGTGGTGGGTGGAATGTCCACATCCCAAAACAGAGTGCTGGGACTTGAGTGTCTGCTCCACTCTGATTCCAGCTTCCTGCTGAGGTGCACCCTGGGAGCAGTATGGAGTTCTGGGCTCCGGCTTCAGCCTGGCCCCAGCCCTGGCTGTTTCAGGCACTGGGGAGGTAACTCAGTGCTCCTCGATGCCCATTGCATGACCTCCAGCGCACCATGCCACCTGTCCTAAGATGAGCGAGACCAACCTGGACACAGCCTTCCTGCAGCCGGAGTGGTGGGAGAGGGCTGAGCAAGTGGTCATCATGGTCAGGGGTCACTGTGCCAGTGGAGCCAGCCAGGAGGGGGCAATCCCCTAAGGGCTTTGTTCATGCTCGAGAGAACTGGGTGCAGTCCTGAGCAGGGCTGGGAGCTGCGCAGCCGCAGTGGGCGGGGGAGCAGAAGTCTGGTCAGAGGGTTTCAGGGGCTGGGCACAGAGGGCTTGGCCAAGGAGTGCTGCACTCCACCTGCTGTGTTTTCCCTGTGAGCTTTCTGGAGCAGCCTTCCTTGTAAACTGGGTACCCCTGTGGAAAGGTGCCGTCCAGATGTGAGCTGTGGGTGTCTGCTAGGAAATGCCCCCTCTTCCACGTTAGTGTCATGAAGACTCTGAGTACCCCCCCACACACACACACTTCCTGGAGATCTGTCTAGGGTGTCCTTTTCTCGCCGTCACGCCCGATTTCGTGGAACTGTGCAGACCCGCACCTGTTGGTTCTTCAGAGCTTGACCTGTGATGGCTGCTCTGCGCAGTCGCCCCGTTTCTACGTCTGGGCGTAGTTAAGTCTGGTTTGCTTTTGGATTCACTTCCTTGTGTTTGGCGAGCGCCCCCTGGTGATGGGGGGATGCCAGTTGGACGTCTGAAAGTCTGTGCGTTCCAGCTGGCGTCAGATGGTGTTTGACGTCAGCATCGAGGGAAAGGGAAGTGTTTCCGCGAGCTGGGAGGAAGACCCCAGGCCGGACCTGCCAGGTGTGCTTTCTGCCTCAAGGTTCAGTTTCTCTGTCTGTACCTTCCTGTGGAGGGGAAGCTGTCGGGTAACCTGCTCACACGAGCCTACAGCAAGGGGAAGATTGGGTTTGTGTTTTAGCCCGACAGTTAGTTCTACAGTTTTTTTAAAAAATTAATTAATTTGAGAGATGCAGAGGAAGAGGCCACTAAACAGAGCTCTCTTCTACTGTTTCACCTCCCAAATGCCTGCAGCATCTGGGGCTGGCCTGGGCTGAAGCCAGAGCCAGCAGCTCAACCCAGGTGCGCCATGTGGGTCACAGAGACCCAAGTATTTGAACCATTGCCGCTGCCTTCCGGGGTCTGCTTTGATGGGAGCCAGAGTCCCCAGGCACGCAGTATGGAATGGGGGCATCTTGACTGCTGGGCTAAACACCTGCTCCCAGGGGCTGAATGCTACACACATACATTACTGGAATGCTACAAAACCCCAAGGCTGCCCTCTGCCCAGGTCCTGCTGAACATGCAGCGTGACCTTTGACTTCTGGGTTTCCATGTGAGGAAGGTGTGTCAGTTACAGGTAAAGGTAGTTTGGGTTTTGTCTTTTGTTTCCTTCAGGAAATAAAAAGATCAGGACAGTTGGGTTTCCTTGAACTACCTGCTGGCCAGACATCAAGGTGCTGGTGATCTTGCAGAAGAGAGATTGCTTTGTGCAGGACAGGTACACATGACCTCTGGAACGCACTCTGCTCCAGCCTTGTTGAGAGCTCTCCCTTCCCCGGGCGCCAGCCACATGGTGGTCTACTGCCCCGAGTAGTCAGCCTTCACACTCACCGGAGGGCCACGAGACCAGGTGGGAGGCGCAGAAGGGCCTCCCCGCCTCTCTACTGCTAGACTTTATCTACAGTGCCCCTTCCTCCAGAGAGCCTCCCCTGACTGCCTCTGCCTCTGTGTAACTCTGCCTTTCAAATAAATAAATTAATTAAAAAAATAAGCAATCATCATTCTCTTCATTTCTCTCTCTCTCTGCCTTTTAATAAAAATATTTGTTAGAAAAGGAGGTGGCAGGTGTTTGGTACAGCTGTTTTCTTTCTTAAGATCTATTTTGTTTATTTGAAAGACAGAGTTACAGAAAAAGAGAAACAGAGAGCAATTAATTCATTTATTTATTTGGCAAGCAGAGCGACAAAGAGATCTTCCATCTACTGGGTCTCTTAAATGACCACAGCATCCAGGGTTGGGCCAGGCCAGAGCTAGGAGCCAGGAACTCCACCCAGGTATTCCATTTGGGTGGCAGGGCCAAGTACTGAGGCCATTATCTGCTACTTTCCCAGGCACGCTAGTAGGGAGCTGGGTCAGAAGTGGAGCAGCCAGGACTCAAACCAGCACTCTAATATGAGATCGAATCAATTCTGGTGTTGTAAGCTGTAGTTTAACCTGCTGCACCACACCACCACCTCCAACCCCAAGGTGGTTATTAATTTTTTTTATATTATCAAGTGTTTGTGTGTATGTGTACACAGTCATGTGTAATTTAGTAATGGGATGTGTTCTGAGAAATGTGCTGTCAGACAAGTTCCTCTTGGTGTGAACGTCATGGACTACTTACTCAGAGCTAGGCCCTAGCCATCGAATCTTATGGGGCCATTATATATGACTTATTTATTTATTTATTTATTTATTTATTTATTATTTGAACGGCAGAGCAACAGAGAGGGAGAGTCAGAGAGAGAAAGAGATGTTCTATCCACTGATGCACTGCCAAATGCCTGTAACAGTTTGGGGCTGGGCAGGTCAAACCCAGGAGCCAGGAACTCCATCTGGGTCTACCACGTAGATGGCAGGACCAGAGTACTTGGACCATCACCTGCTGCCTCCCAGGGTACACATTAGCAAGAAGCTGGATCAGAGGCAGTTTGGGGACTGGCATGTGGCACAGCAGGTTGAACTGCTGCCTGTGATGCTGGCATCCCATATGGGTGCTGGTTCGTGTCCTGGCTGCTTCACTTGCCATCCAGCTTCCTGCTGATGTGCTTGGGAAAGCAACGGAAGATGGCCCAGGAAGTTGGGCCTCTTCTACCCATGTGGGAGACCCGGATGAAGCTCCTATCTTCAGTCTGGCCCAGTCCTGGCCATTGCAACCATTTAGGGAATGAATTAACAGGTAGAAGATCTCTCTCTCTCTCTGCCTCTCTCTTTCTGTAACTCTGCCTTTCAGATAATTAAAATAAGTATATATAAAAAAAGCAGATTATCTGGGACTTGAACTGTCACTCTGATATGGTATCCCAGGTGAGACTTCTTACTGCAGGACATGGAAGAGCCAGGTTTTATTCTGGTTTTCCCAAGGAACTGTGAACAGAGTCACAAAGCTGGTATGTGATCATACAGTAGAGGCCCTAAAATCTTGCAGCCAATGAACCAGCGCAGAGCTGGGTTAGGTGAGGCTTTGCAGTAGGGAGAGAGAAAGAAGAGTGTGTGATTGTCCTGAGACCCCAGCCCTTCGGATGGAAGCTGCTATGTGTCTCTCGTGTGCTGAGAGGATGTGCAGTGACAGTGTCCCTGCCGCCCAGGTCACAGCCTCCTGGCCTACATAACCCACAGTGGGCTCCTTGCTGGCTTCCAGGTGGAGGTGTGGGGATGAGTGGGAGGTCACTGCCAAGTGCACAGCCAGGGGCTTGTGCTTTACAAGCCAGGGTTCACGTTCATTGCCTGGTGTTGCTTGGGTGCCACCTCTGGGGACTGCAGCTGTTGTCGCCATGGAACCACCTCTGACGCCTAAGTGGCCTTTCTGAGTGGCTTTGGAATAAGGGCAGGCTGTAGCCTGCAGTCAGGTGGGGATGCCTAAGTCCCCTTTGATTTGCTTGTCTCAAGCCATCTGAGAAAGGGAACCCCTGGCAGCTGCTCAGTGGCTGCTGGTCTAACACTCAGAAAGTGAAGCTCAGGAAAGCTGTGCCACCAGGAGCCTCCTTTGCCTACTGTTAGCTAGGTGTGCGATGCTCCGGAGTTATCTGAGGGAGAGCTTAAGGGCCTATGAAAGGCGCCGAGGGACTTACAGAGTCGTCCCAGAGGCTGCAGCCACGTGTGTGCACACGTGCTAGCATCGCTGTGTGACCACTCTCCCAGAGGTGGCCTGGAGCTGGAAGGACCGTGAGGGAGTCAGCAGCGCAGGGGAGGCCAGTGCCAGCTCCAGGAGCCGGTGCTGAGCAGCTCTGGAAGGAGGAGTCGGTGGTAGGCGAGGCATTTCCCTTGAGAGCGAGGAACCACAGGTGCCACGGCCACTGGGACACTGGGCGCCTGGACTGTAGGCGCCCAGGGCACTGGGCAGGGGAGGCGAGAGGGGCCTGTTTTAAATCAGGTGCTCTGCAGACTTCTTTCTAGTTTTATATAGAAATGTTCTGAGATATGGGAAGGCAGACAGATGAGGGTAGTAAACCTCACGTAGCGTCACTCACTCTGGGGAGTAGAAGCCGTGGCTGCCCTGCTTCCTGTATACCCTGACACCAACACTGTGGCTGGTGTTCCCAACCAAGGCTGCAAGCCCATGGCCGGTAATGGGTCAGTCAAGATTCTGAGGCCGGGGCCAGCGCCGTGGCTCAATAGGCTAATCCTCTGCCTTGTGGCACTGGCACCCCAGGTTCTAGTCCCGGTCGGGGTGCCGGATTCTGTCCCGGTTGCCCCTCTTCCAGGCCAGCTCTCTGCTGTGGCCTGGGAGGGCAGTGGAGGATAGCCCAAGTCCTTGGGCCCTGCACCCCATGGGAGACCAGGATAAGTACCTGGCTCCTGGCTTCGGATCAGCACGATGCACCGGCCACAGTGGCCATTGGAGGGTGAACCAACGGCAAAGGAAGACCTTTCTCTCTGTCTCTCTCTTTCTCACTGTCCACTCTGCCTGTCAAAAAAAAAAAAAAAAAGAGTTCTGAGGCCGGGAATGACTGAGTACACTCCTCAATTTCACTTTTCCGAGGTCCCCCTGAGTCCCCCTCTTTGTCTTGTTTTTCAGTGGGAAGTTGGTGTCTCCAAAGTGGAAGAATTTCAAAGGCCTGAAGCTGCAGTGGAGAGACAAGATCCGGCTCAACAATGCCATCTGGCGGGCGTGGTACATGCAGTGTGAGTGGGGCCAGAGTCCTGCTCACAGGACTCGATGTCCCTGACCGGCGGTCTGTGGAGAGGGAAACTACACCCACCCCTAGGAAACTGCACACTTGCCAGCCTCAGGCACACAGGCCAGCACTGCAAAGCTGCCACTGTCCGGAGGAGACAGGCACCGCACTCAGCATCTCCCAGATGCTCTGTCTGGGGTGGGGAAGGCAGAGGAGTCCGGAGGGCCAGGCAGTGACATTTGAGAGCAGGGAGTGTTCCCATTTCCAGCTGATCTAAGAAAGTGCAGGCTCAGGCCTTCTGTCTCCAACTGGCCTTGGGCCTGGTGGAGCAAGTGGCTTCAGAGATCCGGAGGTGGGGGCTTGTGTTCGGCTGTCCTTGGCTTGGCAGGCCAGACTCCTGGTTGTGCCCGTGTGTTAGCACGGTTCTTTTCCTTTAACTGGAACCCATTATTTCCCTGAAACCTCCAGTTTCGGAGGGAAGGAGAAGGAAAGAGTGCTTGGGAAGGCCCCGCCATGGCGGGGAGTGGGGGACAGATGGTGCAGGGCTCCTCCAGGGTCTGGGCCACAACGGTGATGTCATCCTCTCTGTGCCCAGACTTGGAGAAGCGCAAGAATCCTGTGTGCCACTTTGTCACTCCCCTGGACGGCTCCGTTGACGTGGATGAGCACCGCCGACCAGAGGTATTCAGCAGGTGGTTGGAGGCAGGAGCTGGGAGGGACGAGTCACTAGCTGGTTGGCCTTGAGAAGGGACAGGGGCCTCTAACACCCATATCACAGAGGTCTCCGTCCTCAGACTGACCCAGGTCACAGAGGTCTCCATCCTCAGACTGACCCCGACCACAGAGGTCTCCGTCCTCAGACTGACCCAGGTCACAGAGGTCTCCGTCCTCAGACTGACCCAGTGGGGACTTCTCCCTGCTTCCATTCATCTTCCTTTCTCTCTCTCTCTCTCTCTCTCTCTCTCTAGAAAAAAAGATTTATTGATTTATTTAAAATACAGAGCTACAGAGAGAGAGACCTTCCACCCACTAGTTCATTCCCCAGATAGCTATAATGGCTGGGTCTGGGCCAGATTGAAGCCAGGAGAGCAGCCAGTGCTCCAATATGGGTTGCCGATGTTGCAGGTGGTGGCTTAACCTGCTGCACAACACCAGTCTCTGCTTTGGTTTAAAATAGATGTTTCTTCTGGAAGTCAACAGGGAAGAAGGTGGCTCCTCATAAGGCGGACATCTTTAAAGAGTAGCCTCAAGATTGTTCTAGAGTGGAGAGCAGAGCCAGTGTGGGGATGCAATGGATTAAGCTGCCACCTGTGACGCCAGCATCCCCTATGAGTGCTGGTTCAAGTGCCAGCTGCTCCACTAATATCAAGCTCCCTGCTAATGTACCTGGGAAAGCTGCAAAAGATGGCCTGAGTATTTGGGCTCCTGCACCCGCTTGGGAGACTTGGATGAAGTTCCAGGCTCCTGCTTCCACCTGGCCCAGCCTTGGCCATTGTGGCCATTTGGAGAGTGAACTAGCAGGTGGAAGATTTCGCTTTGTCTCTCTCTTTCTGTAATTCTGCCTTTCAAATAAATAAATCTTTTTTTAGAAATTGCTATAGACCTAGATGGATAACAGCTGTGAGGAAAGGGTAACTTGTTACAAAGCCAGCAGCAGCACAGCTGTGTTTTTGATGTCTTTGTGTTAACCCTGGAATTGTGTGTCTGTGTGACCACACCTCCAGGAAATGTCTAGAAGGATTTTAAAGAAGCTTTTTCTTTTTTAAAGATTTATTTATTGGCTGGCGCCGTGGTTCACTAGGCTAATCCTCCGCCTTGCGGCACCGGCACACCGGGTTCTAGTCCCGGTCGGGGCACTGGATTCTGTCCCGGTTGCCCCTCTTCCAGGCTGGCTCTCTGCTATGGCCCGGGAGTGCAGTGGAGGATGGCCCAGGTCCTTGGGCCCTGCACCCACATGGGAGACCAGGAGAAGCACCTGGCTCCTGGCTTCGGATCAGCACGATGCGCCGGCCGCATCGCGCCGGCTGTGGCGGCCATTGGAGGGTAAACCAACGGCGAAAGGAAGACCTTTCTCTCTGTCTCTCTCTCACTATCCACTCTGCCTGTTTTAAAAAAAAAAAAAAAAAAAAAAAAAAAAAGATTTATTTATTGAGGCCAGCACTGTGGCATAGTGGCTTAAGGCATCCCATGTGGTGCTGGTTCGAGTCCCAGCTGCTCCACTTCTGACCCAGCTCCCTGCTGATGGCCTGAGAAAGCAGTGGAAAGTGGCCCAAGTGCTTGGGTCCCTGCACCTGTGTTGGGGACCTGGAAGAAGCTCCTGGCTCCTGACTTCAGATCAGCCAAGCTCCAGCCGTTGCGGTCATTTGGGAAGTGAACCAGCAGATATGTGTCCAGAGTGTCCAGAGCTGGGCTGATCCAAATCCAGGAGCCAGGAGCTTTCTGCAGGGGTCCCAAGTATTTGGGCCATGTTCTGCCACTTTCTCAGGCACATTAGCAGGGAGCTAGATCGGAAGTGGAGCAGCCGGGATTTGAACCAGCACCCACATGGGATGCTGGCACTGCCAGCAACAACTTCACCTGCTATGCCACAGCACCAGCCCCTCAAAAACATTTATCACAGTGGATTCCTCTGGGGGCACCCAAGATTGATCGGGCTGCTAGATGAGGGAGAAGTTTTGAGTCTCTTTTTTCACTTCATATTCCTCTGCAGTGTTTGAATTTTGGCTAAGCTTGCTTACTGTTGTGATAAAAGGGGAAAAAAATAAAAAGTTATCTAATGAAAGAGTATTGACACTGTTGTATGTACTATGTCATGCATTAGACACTATCAAAGAGTATGTTTTTATTAGATATAATAAAGCAATATTGCAAGCCTAGTTTTAAAAAATTATTTACTTTATTTGTAAGGCAGAGAGAGAGACCTTCCATCTGCTGATTCACTCACCAGATGCCCCTGACAGCCAGGATTAGACTATTCCAGGCCAAACTCAGGAGCCAGGAATTCCATGTGAGTCTCCTCTATGGGTAGCAGACCTTTAAGCAGTTGGGCCATCCTCAGGTGCCTCCCAGGTACATTAGTAGGGAGCTGGATCAGAAGTGGATCCGCAGGGCTGGTGCTATGGTGTAGCAGGTAAAGCCACTGCCTGCAATGCCAGCACCCCATTTGGGCACCAGTCCAAGTCCCAGCTGTTCCACTTCCAATCCAGCTCCCTGCTGATGCACCTGAGAAAGCAGCAGAGGATGGCCCAAGTGCTTGGACCCCTGTACCCATGTGGGAGACCCGGAGGAGACTCCTAGCTCCTGGCTTCTGACTGGCTCAGTCCTGGACGTTGTGGCCATCTAGGGAGTGAAGCAGCAAATGGAAAATCTATCTCTGTCTCTCCCCTTCTCTCTATAACTCTGCCTTTCAAATAAATAAAATAAATCTTAAAAAAAGAAGAAGAAGAAGAAGTGACTCAAAGCAGGCACTCCAAAAGGAGCAGGTGTCCTAAACGGCATCTTCGCTGCTGGGCCCAGCGCTCACCCCTCTGGTGTTTGCCAAGCACTCTTGACTGCTGGAGAAGTATTTGTAGGTCAGCTGAGGGGACCAAGGTGGGCCCCTCCAGGAGCGCCCCCAGGCTTTCCCGTCTCCCTAGTGAAGTGGAATTAGGTGCTGGTGGGGTCGCTTTCCCCCTCAGACCCCGTGCCTGGCTGTGCAGTTTGCTCTTGGAACGGGAAGCAGAGGCTGCTGGAAAGGGCACTGTGGGCTGCCTATGAGTTTGTTCCTCCCCTGCCCAGTGTTCTCTCTGGCCCTGTGCCCTCCTCACACAGGGTCCCAGAAGGCCCCTGTGGATATGGGGACACGCAGTGGGGCACATCTGTGGCACAGCGGAGGAGGCAGGTTGTCTGAGGCCTGAGGTGGGCTGCTCCCCAAGCCACCCTCTCCTCTGGTCTCCATGTCGCAGGCCATCACCACGGAAGGAAAGTACTGGAAAAGCCGCATCGAGATCGTGATCCGGGAGTACCACAAGTGGAGGACCTACTTCAAAAAAAGGGTATCTGGCCGGAGCGCCCCGAAATGTGTTCAGGAGTACTTGGGATTAGGTTTGAGGCTGTGGGCCCCACAGCTGCCCTGCATGGGCAGGGGACCCACAGGAGGACACAGCCCAGCATCCTAGGCCAGTCTGAGCGTTGCCGATGCGGGCGCCAGCTCTGTGCTGTTTCTATCTCCTCACTGGGAGTGGGGCTGGGAATCTCCCTTGTGTGGCATCAGCCTGGGGATGGCAGGGAGCAGCACCCTCTTCCAGCCTGTCCCCTGAGACAAGAGGCCTAGAAGCTTCTGAGAGTCTGCCCACGTGTAGAAGTGGGCCAGGACCTCGTGCCCTGCTGACGGCTCGTCTGCTCCCTCTGTCCACAGCTACAGCAGCACAAGGATGAGGACCTCTCCAGCCTGGCCCAGGTGAGCGGCGTCGAGCCCTGCAGCAGGAGAGGGCAGGACACGGCCTCCCCAAGGCTGGGGCTGGGTCAGCCCCTTCTCACATGGAGATCTGTGAGCGACAAAGGGAAGAGTCCTGGCCTCTCTGGTGCGGGGTCTGGGGGAGCTGCTGTGTGCACGCCACCCCACTGCAGGGTCTGGGGGAGCTGCTGTGTGCATGCCGCCACCCTCCTGCCTTGCCTTCTCAGAGCAGCCGTGGACAGCCCCCCAGTGCGGTGTGACTGGGAGTTCTGCCTTCTGCTGCCACCCTTTGATCTCTCCCCTGTCTGCTGGCCCAGGATGATGACATGCTGTACTGGCACAAACGTGGCGATGGGTGGAAGACCCCAGTGCCCATGGAGGAGGATCCGCTGCTGGACACAGACATGCTCATGTCAGAATTCAGTGATACCCTCTTCTCCACACTGTCTTCACACCAGCCAGTGGCCTGGCCCAACCCGCGGGAGATAGGTAACCCTAGCTCGAGTCCATGGGCCTGGAGCACCTGCTGGCTTCCTCCTTGACCATGCACCTCTGGCCAGGCTTTGCTGTGGGCCATTCCTGAGCTGTCACAGGTTTCTTGTCTGGGAAGTGGGCAGCCTCGGGTGACATGGGTTGGGGGGAGCAGGGCAAGGACTACAGACCAAGCCTTCCTGGGGCAGTGTTGCCCCTGGTACCACTGTGAGAGCTGGTGTGCTCCTGATACTGCCCCCTGGCAGGGACATGAGGCAGGGCCGTGCAGCTCCAATGCCTCAGGCATGGACTCCTCCTGACAGCATTCGAGAACTCAGGGAAGACCCCCAGGTGGAGACTGGGAATGGGGAGCTGGGAGGGTGCTTCTGCCCAGCTGACTGTAGCTTGCTGGCACCTCCACCGAGTTATTTGATTTACCTTTCGTGTAAACTCCCACGTCTTCTCTGTCCTCGGAGGAGGAGAATGGCTGTGAACCTGCACAAAAGCAGAAATCCCAGCCGTCCGCCTACATGTCTCCTTCTGTCTCTGGAACGTGAGCAGGGCCGGGAAGATCCGTCCAGGCCTCGCTCATGTTCCTGCAGCCTTACCTGGGAAGGCGGACGATGCTTCTTTCTGGTTCTTGCAGCACACCTGGGAAATGCAGACATGATCCAGCCGGGGCTGATCCCTTTGCAGCCCAACCTGGACTTCATGGACACCTTTGAGCCTTTCCAGGGTGAGCATGGGGCAGACAGCGTGGAGCTCAGGTTCCGTGCCCAGCACGGAACAGACTGGTGCTCCTGGCCAGAAAATAGAATGGGCAACGGAGAGGACTTGGGATTTTCCAAAAAGTAAACTTTTTTTGTAGTAGCAGCGAGGTCTGGAGAATTTTTCTGGGACCTTCTCTCTCCAAGGAGGGTGTGACCATCAGCAGTTCTCCCTGTAGGCAGCAGAGGGTGCTGTGACACAGCCCCCGCCCGGCAAAGGCTCCTGCCACCATCAGAGCCGGGGAGACGCCAGGCCTGGGCGTGTTTCAGTGCCGGGACTTCTTGCAGCCCAGGGCCCCTTGCTACAGTAAAAGTTCCCCTGGGAGGGGTGGCTGACCCTGGCCTCCCTCTGGGCAGCAAAGGCTCAGTCTTACTTCCTTGGATCTGAATTCCCTGGCACTCAAAAGGCCCCTGCTGTTGTTTTTCAGACCTGTTCTCTTCCAGTCGCTCCATTTTTGGCTCCATGCTTCTCACACCTGTCTCAGCACCTGCCCCAGATCCCAACAGCCCACCTGCTCAGGTAGAAGCTGGGATGTGGGGGGCAACTGGTATAGGGCTGGGCTAACGGCGTGAGTGGTCACGAGCTGGAGCTGGGCGTAGCTAGACCACTCAGTGTGTCACAACGCCGTCCCAGCAGTTGTTGGAAGCGGACTGAGGTGTGTACGGGGTAGGGGCCGCCTGCAACCGCGTGCTGCTGCCTCAGGCTCTGGTAACCTCTGTGCAGCCACCAGACAGAGAAGAAAGGCAGATCATTCAGAACCCTGAGTTCTGGGTATTTCTTCCACTTCTTACTTCATAGTCAACAGAAGTTAGCTACTAGACACATGGCCACAGAGCTGGACAAAGTGGGCTCTCAGGCTGCCGTCTCCGGTAGGACAGTAACCCAGCACCATCCTGCCATGGAGACTGAGACCTGCACGGCTGATGCTTCAGGTTTTCCCGTGTAGGAAGAGGTGGCCTGACTAGAAGTTGATACTGTCCTGGGGGACCCACAGCAGCTGCGATCCAGGCCACCTCTGTCCTGTAACAGAAGATGGCAGAGACTTTGGGGACAGTCCTGTCGGGCTCCAGAAACCAGATCTGCCCAGGCTGCTGTCCAGCTGTGTGGCAGCCGTTGCTTTGTCTGAGCTCTGTGTTATCATTTAGTTCCTGCTGGAAACAAGAGCCCTGCAGGTTCCCCCGGGAGATACAGATCTGCTCCCTTGATCAGCAGCAGTGGGCATGGAGAAACGAGCTGGCCGACCCCAGCCTTAAGTCCTTGCCTCTTTCTCTTCCTTCCCCAGGGGAGCGTCCTGCCAACCACCACCCTCCCTGCTGTGAACCTTCCCGACAGCCTCATTGTGCTCCCCACGGCCCCCTCCCTGGATCCCGCAGATGGGCAGGGCTGTGAACGCACCTCCAGGACAGGGGACCCCTTTATGCAGCCCACAGATTTTGGTCCCTCGGAGCCACAGCTGAACGTCCCACAGCCCTTCCTCCCCGTCTTCACCATGCCCCTGCTCTCCCCCAGCCCGGCCCCATCACCCGTCTCACCAGTGGTGCCGCTGGTTCCTCCTCCCGCCACTGCCCTCAGCCCCCCAACACCCCCTGCCTTCCTGCAGCCACAGAAGTTGGCAGGAGCTAGCAAGGCACCCTCTGTCATCACGCACACAGCCTCTGCCACCCTCACCCATGACGCCTCTGCCACCACCTTCAGCCAGAGTCCGGGTCTCGTGATCACAGCCCACCCCCCTACCCCCTCAGCATCCCCCTGTGGCCTGGCGCTGTCACCTGTCACTCGGCCACCAGCTGTTGGCCCTCCCCAACCCTGTTTAACTTTTGTGCCCCCTAAACCTGTTCCCTTGACTGGGGGGAGACCCAAGCAGCCCCCCAAAATAGTGCCTGCTCCCAAGCCAGAGCCTGTGTCCTTGGTGTTGAAGAATGCTTGCATCGCCCCAGGTGAGTCAGGTGGAGTGAGCCGGCTCTGAGCACCCCCACCCCACACATGCACGCCTCCATGGAGCAGTGAATCAGGCTCCTGAGAGAACAGCTGTGGCCACCTAGTCTCCTTGTTCTTCTGTTTGTCCGCTTCAGAAAGTGGTTGGTTCCCTGGTGGCCTTGTCGTCCCCAGGCAGAGAGGGCTCGTGAGCTGTCCCCAGGGAGCCCTACTGCCCAGGCCCACAGCCCTCACCTCCCGCCTGTCCTGGCAGCTGCCTTTCCAGGCCAGTCACAAGCAGTGATCATGACGTCAGGCCCTATGAAGAGAGAAGGGATGTTGGCGTCCACCGTGTCCCAGTCCAGTGTGGTCATCACGCCTGCTGCCATCGCCAGGGTGAGGAAGCCCTGGACGGACCTGTGGTGTCCTTCTCATTCCACAGTGGTGCCCCCCGCCCCGGTGTGACCTCTTTCCCATGTCACTGCAGGCTCCCCCTGGCGTCGCAGAGTTCCACAGCGGCATCCTCGTGACAGACCTCGGCCGCGGCACAAGCAGCCAGCCCGCACCCGTCCCCCGTCTCTTTCCCAGCACAGTGCAGGACGCCCTGGTGAAGGGCGAGCAGGTGCCGCTGCATGGGGGCAGCCCCCAGGTCCCTGCCGCGGGGTCTGGTGAGTGCTTACTCACATCTGGGTGTCAGCACTTTGTGGGCAGAAGATCCCAGCCTGCCCTGGGATCGAGCCTGGGCTTGTAGGACATGTGCAGTGAGGTCTCATAAGCTCTCCCTGGCCCAGCCTCAAAACATGAGGGACAGATGGCCAAGTGCCTGAGGCAGTGCCACTCAGAGCCAGAAGCATCCACCTGCTGGGGCGGAGCCGCCACTCTCCTGTCCTCAGAAAGCTTGACTCGGAGCTGCCAGTTCTTTATTTTTTTTAAAGATTTATTTTATTTATTTGAAAGACAGAGTTACAGAGAGAGGTAGAGGCAGAGAGAGAGAATCTTCCATCTGCTGGTTCACTCCCCAGATGGCTGCAACGGCTGGAGCTACACCGATCTGAAGCCAGGAGCCAGGTGCTTCTTCCGGGTCTCCCACGTGGGTGCAGGGGCCCAAGCACTTGGGCCATCTTCTACTGCTCTCCCAGGCCATAGCAGAGAGCTGGATTGGAAGAGGAGCAGCCAGGACTAGAACCAGTGCCCATATGAGATGCCAGCGCTTCAGGCCAGGGCTTTAACCCGCTGCACCACAACGCTGGCCCCATGCCAGTTGTCAATCAGAAGAGGGATGGGGACATCACTGCCAGCCTGGTTGCTGTGGCCATAGAAGCTGCCAGCCTTGTCTGGCATTAGTGTGGCTGTCCCTCGTGGCTCCAAAGCCCTGCAGACCTGGGAGCCCATTCCATGTCCTGGACCTCGCACTGGTGGGATGATCAGGCCAAGACTGCTGGCACTCCGGACCGTCTGTGGAGCCGGCAGAGCCGGGATGAGTGACTGCTTGAGGCTGGGCCACTGGGCCAGGGCTGCGGGCTGAACTGGTTCCATCCTTTCCAACACTGCGCCCTGAAGGGGGTGGGAAATGTCCTCTTCTTTTAGCTGAAGCTGAGTGTACCTGCCCCCCTCCCGCTGGAAGACACAAGCCAGGAGATCTGTCACTTAGAGGTCAGGCAGATGGGCACTGGCATAGTCAGGCAGTCTTCAGTCTGGAACAGTCCAGAAAGATAAAGACTGGGAAGAGCCGCGCTAGGTGCCCGGCGTGGTCGCAGGCAGGTGGGGTCCGCATTCCTTGTCTGCACAGTCAGAGTCCAGCACTGCCCGCTGTGAAGCCCTGATTTACCCAGGCCAGAGTAGGTGGCCTCCAGGCATCCGTCACCCAGCGTGGGAGGGCTGGACAGGCTGCCGGGGACAGTGCTAGAGTGGCCACCAGACCCCAGGGCTGGGTCATCAAAGGGCGGTGTGGTGTTTTAATTTAAAATGTTGTGGAGTGGGTAAGATGCTGACAGAAGAAGGCACGTACAGAAATGCACCTTCTCTCTTAAGTCCCTGAGAGGAGTCTTCTCTGCAGGTCGGGACGACCCCAGCTCAGGGCAGGTGTCTCCATGTGCGTCTGAACAGAGCCCCAGTCCTCAGTCTCCCCAGAACAGCTCAGGGAAATCTGCAGGGCCCAAAACCATGGCTGCATTGAAGGTATCGTACATCTCTTGGCAGGGAGGTGGAGGGAGAGCAGCAGCAATGGGGGCTGCAGGTGCGGCTGGGGGAGCATCGGGAGCTTTGCAGCTGAATTCCCCTCACAGGGCCCCTCCCATCAGTCAGCCCCATGGTGATGGGGGCGGTTAGAGAGCTCTGGGTTGGTGCTGAGCCCGGGACCAAGTTGAGTCCCCTAGGTGTGGTAGTGCAGCCTCGGCCCCTGGCGGTTGCAGGAGGGAGGTGATAGCGGGAGGGACTGAGCAGCAGAGGGGACGTGCAGGTGGGCTGGAACGTGCCCAAGCAGACAGCGCTGCCAGCATGCGTGCCCCCGTCTTCAGTATTTCCGGTGCCCTGCCCTGCCCTGCCCTGCCCTGCCCCTCAGGGTGCTTCAGCACGGCCTTCTAGCTCTTTGCCAGCCTCTGCATAGTTCTTGCCCTGGCCCGCTGGGCACCCTACAGTGCTAATCTCCCTCGAGCTGCTCACTGTCAGAGTAGGTGGTGAGGCGGGATGAGCTTATGTGGCCGTGGTAAGGCCCGTGTCTCAGGGACTGGGTGATTCCCTGACAGAATCGGCAGATGAAGCACATTTCGGCCGAGCAGAAGAGGCGCTTCAACATCAAGATGGGCTTCAACACCCTGAACAGTCTGATCTCCAATAACTCCAAGCTGGTGAGCAGCCGGAGCACACTGAGGGCTGGGAGCAGGGGCAGGCGGCCTCCCCCGTGTGCCCGGGGGCTGCCGCCCTGAGCCACCTGCCCCTCCACAGACCAGCCGCGCCATCATGCTGCAGAAGACCGTGGAGTACATCACCAAGCTGCAGCAGGAGCGCAGTCAGATGCAGGAGGAGGCCCGGCGGCTGCGGGAGCAGATCGAGGAGCTCAACACCACCATCATGTGAGGCCCTGGGCCTGGGCTCCGTCACCAGGCGCAGGCGCAGAGGTCACCTTCCGTCCCCTCCTCCTCACACTGCCCTGCCTGGCCTAGCTGCAGTCCTGAGAAGGGCCAGCCCGCCCACTGGTGCCCCGGGTCCTCGTTTGCCAGCAGCTGCCCCAAAGCATCCCTGACTCCTGTTGTTTCAGCTCCTGCCAGCAGCTGCTCCCTGCCACGGGGGTCCCCGTCACCGTGCGCCAGTGCCACCGCATGCGAGACATGTTTGACGAGTACGTGAAGAGCCGGACGCTGCAGAACTGGAAGTTCTGGATTGTATCTTTGGCCGTCTTTGTCCCTCCTTCCTCATGCCAGCCGCCATGGTATGCTTGTCACTGCGTCCATCAAGACAGCAGCCCAGGTGTCCCACAGCCGAGGGGATGTGGCCTGCGGGGCACTCTGCAGGAAGGGCTCTGCTCTCCGCATCTCTGCAGGTGCAGCTGGCGGGGCTGAGGGGGTCCCTCAGCCCGGGGAAGCTAGCGGGAGCGGCTGAGCAGCCGAGCCCAGTTTGAAGCCTGCGCCTCAGACTGTGCTGTTTGTGCCGCATGGCCCCAGGTGTCCCAGTCGAGTGAGCCGGCCTGCGTGCCAGGGTCTGTCTCTGACCAAGGCTTCTGAATGCCAGGGTGTCTCTTAGGGATCACCTCTGACCTAGTCACTCTGTCCTGCCACACTGACCCTGTGTGAGCTGTTGGCATGCATGACGAGTGGCCATGACACGGGGCTGTGGGCAGAGAGGCTCCCTGCAGGCATCCGGGGGTCAGGAGCCTGCGCTCCTGTGGCGATTGTTAAACAAAGATGAACACTGGCCCTGGTCCCTGTGTGACCTCCTGTCCGCTGTCTGGCCCAGTCCTTCCCCTGTCATTAGTGGAGCTGGGTGGTGTCTGGAATGAATTGGGACCTGAAGTGGGCATTGTCCCAGACCAGAGTGCAGGGGAAAGGGGGCCTGCAGGGGTGGGATGAGCAGCTGGCAGGTTTGTGTTCAACTCAAGGGACAGGCGTCATCTCCAGACTGCTCTTGCTTCCCCCTCTGGGCACCCGCAGTCTTGGAAAACTTCTGTGCTCTTGTCATCATGCAGACCAAAGAACTCCCTGTGCTGGCTCAGGTACTGTTAGCCAATGTTAGCCAATGTCTCAGTCAGGCAAGGTTGGGGCCAGGGCACCTCATGCCCAGTGAGTGTTCCCACACTAGCACTCTGTCTCTCCTGCTTGCTTGCTCGCTCTCCTTTCACTTGCTCACTCTCTCTCCCGTGGGCAGTTACCTGCCAGTCCCAAGGGGAGTCACTGGGCTTTTCTCCCTACCCTGAGCTACGAGCCCCCCAGCCCTTCATACCTACTCGTCCTTAACCCACGTCGTGCAGTTCAGCATCATCATCAAGCCGCTGTTTGAGTCATTCAGGGGGGTGGTGTCCACCAGCAGCCTGGAAGAGCTGCACCGGACGACCCTGTCCTGGCTGGACCAGCACTGCTCGCTGCCCATTCTCAGGCCAAGTGAGTAGGGGCTGTGCTGGGGGCTCGTGGTGCTCGTCCTGGTAGGGGGAGGCCCTCAGCTGGGGACAGTGCAGAGGTAAATGCAGATTCCTCTGCAGGCAACCTGGCTGGCAGTGCCAGGGGCATGGAATGTGCTAGCTGGGAGGCCGTGCCCAGAGTAGCCGCTGCAGGGCCAGCAGCTGGTCTCCGGGCTCCTGAGTCAGCACCTGCCAATCTGGTCAAGTTCAGCGTAGAGTTATTGAGCTCCTGCTCTCTGCCAGGCTCTGTGGCGGATGTTTCTGGAAGGTTTTTTCTTGTTAATTCTTCCAGTTACTAATAAAAGTATTTCCGCCTGGTGCCGCGGCTCACTAGGCTAATCCTCCGCCTTGCGGCGCCGGCACACCGGGTTCTAGTCCCGGTCAGGGCGCCGGATTCTGTCCCGGTTGCCCCTCTTCCAGGCCAGCTCTCTGCTGTGGCCAGGGAGTGCAGTGGAGGATGGCCCAGGTGCTTGGGCCCTGCACCCCATGGGAGACCAGGAGAAGCACCTGGCTCCTGGCTTCAGATCTGCGCGGTGTGCTGGCTGCAGCGCACTGGCCACAGCGGCCATTGGAGGGTGAACCAACGAAAAAGGAAGACCTTTCTCTCTGTCTTTCTCTCTCACACTGTCCACTCTGCCTGTCAAAAAAAAAAAAATTTTCCATGTTATGGTTGTCAAGGCTTAGTATTAAAACAAATGGAGCAGCCTTGGAGCAGCTGGAACAGCCTGGAACCTTCTGGCTGTTTGCAGCCCCTGTGGGGTTGGAGAGCTCGCCCACGGGCAGAAGTGGGAGTGCACGGGTCCTCTGTGCAGCCCAGCCCCCGGCTGTCACCTGGGGCTGCTCTCGGCAGGCCCTGTGGGCTGACCCCCTGTGTCTTGCAGTGGTGCTGAACACCCTCCGCCAGCTGAGCACCACCACATCCATCCTCTCCGACCCGTCCCGGCTGCCGGAGCAGGCGTCAGAGGCCGTCAGCAGGCTGGGCCAGAGGTCGGGGGAGTCTTAGCTGCTGGACTGGCCTGTGGACACGTGAGCTGCTGGGAGACCTCTTCCTGCCTGTGGAGAGGAGGCCACGCACCCTCTGCGCCGCGGCCCTGTGCCGCTTGGGATGCCTTGCTCAGGTCTGAGGCAGGGTCGGACCTGCCCCAACTCTGGCCCCTCTGGGGAGCCCCTTGCTGTGACTTCACTCGCAGACCTCAGTCACCCACCGCCCCTGCCCTCCTGGAGGCGCGGAGGCTCAGATTTGCCCCCGACCCGGGGTTCTTTGCAACCTGTGCTCTCTGGTGCCCCCTGCAGGGGCAGTGGAGGGCATCTTTCTCCCTGCCCCGCTCTGACAGCACCTGGCCCTCGTGGGTGGATCTCGACTTCATTCCAGGCTTCTGCACAGCGATGGCCTCCTTCCTGCGCATGGGCCTCTGGGGGGTGATGCTTTCTTCAGAGACCCCCAGAACACATGGGTGCAGAAGCAGTGGGTGTGGACGCTCGCAGGACAAGAACAGAAGCACAAACCACGCAGAGCTGCTGTCTGGCTCGGAGGCCGTCCTGCTGGCGTTTCGTCCGTTGTGGTTGAGTTCCTTGTGGCACGGCAGAGTCTGCAGTGTCACTGTGAGAATCTCATGGCAGGGACTTGGCCCAGGCCCTTCTCAGGCGTCCCCGGGCACCGTGGCCCTTCCGCCCTGCTCGCCGCTGACTTCCAGGCTGCAGACCGGGCCGCGGCAGGTGCGCCCCGGGCTGCTGACCCACCTTTTTGCCGCCAGCCTGCTCGCCACATCGGACCTTCATTGGGAAGCCCTGAACCACGCAGTTTTCAGACCAAAGATGCCGCCATGCCCACGTCGGTCAGTGCTTGTGTTTGCAGAGACGCTGAACGTCGATAGGCAGAGCTCTGAGCCCGGGCCTCGGGCTTTCTCTAAGGGTTGTCTTCAGACTTGGTCGGACTGGGGCTGGAGCGGAGGGGGCCGTGCCGGAGAAGCGGGGCAGCCCAAGCAGTCCTCACCCTCTCCAGTGGCCCTGTAAGTGGCAGACGCTCTCCCCAGCACAGGGGATGCAGCCAAGGCACCTCCTGGCAGGAAGAAGGGGCTTGCCAGGCTCCTGTGGTGCGCAGACCACAGGTGTGTCCTTCCACACCTGCCTGCTAGTCCTGGGAGGGCTTTGAGGGAGCCCTAGCGTTCCCCCTGAGGTTCCTGGAGACCTGAGGAACTGGGGTTCGGAAGGGCAGCCCCTCTGCGGTGGCCTCAGTTGTCGGGGGTGGGGGGAGTTTCTCTCCCAACCCCCATCTCTGCCGCGGGGCCCTGCGCAGCGGCCCGCTCCCATTTGCCTCAGCCTGTACAGGGCAGTATGGTGGCGCCTTGCCTGCCCACCCCGCGTTTACAGGCCTGCCTGCCCCCTGCTGGGCGAGCCCCTGGGAAGTGGGACTAGAACTCGTCCTTTGCACACAGCTCAGGACAGATGGGGAGTCACCTTCAGAGGGTGAAGGTCACTGTAGTAAGAATTCTACCGGGGTCAGAGGAAAGAAGGGGTCTGGGGGACGGTCCGGAGCCCAGCCCTGCCCACTCCTGTGCCTTGTAGCATTTGCAAATGACCATGTGGCTGGTCCGGCTGAGAACGCTCCTAAAGCAGTGGCTTTCTCCCCATCCTTGCTGGGAGGACTTTGTTTTTTTTTAACTCCATGGGATATAAAATTGGCCTTCTGCTTCCTTGGCCTACCTCTCCCTTTTGCTGAATTACTGTTCACTGCTGTTCCTGACTGTTGTCATATTTAAGGCTGTTGGGTTACGTGGGACTTGAAGTGTGTGTGTGTGTGTGTGCGTGCGTGTGCGTGCACACCAGCAGACCCTTAACAAGATGCATGTTTTTGTCTTTAGATACTGACTTAAGTTCACTTCTCTTGGTGCTCATGATTGCTGTGGCAGGGAGGCCATGATGCTGGACCTCTGCTGCAGCGTTGTGCGTGTGGCCAGGCTGGGGTCTAGCCTTGACCTCCGTGCTGCGCTCCTGGCCCGTGTTCAGGGACAGCTGAGGCCCCCGGGCAGCGGCAGCCTCACGAGGGTGCTGAGTGCCCTCATTTCCACCGTCACTCTTGTCCCCACTCCCAAAGAAGAAACTGCGGAATGCTGGCACTTGGAGAACAGAGACTCATTCAGAAGAGACCAGAACGCCCGCCTCCACGTGCCATGTTGGATGCCATCAGCAGCCAACACCCCCCCCTTGGCTCTTTCACTATGAATGGGAGGTGAAGGTGCAGGATGGGGCTGCCATGGGGCTTTCTGAGAGCACACGGCAGCGCTCCTCCCTTCGGGGGGCCCACGCCCGGGGCAGGCCGGCGGCGGCGCCGAGGCTCGTGGTGGAGGAGGCTGGAGGGCAGGGGGGCCGTGGAGGCTGCCGTGTGCTCTCCGGCCCTGACTTGCACATTTCCTCCCTGAAGACCCGGTCCCCCCGCTTTCTAGAGGTCAGTCCTGGAGCTTGTGCTGGCCCAGAGTGAGGGGGCTTGGGTTCTTGGAGGACAGAGCACCCAGCACCCCAAGGTGGTGCCCAGCCCTTGTCCCTCCCCGGGAGGGGCCACGCCCACCACCTGCCCCCGCAGTCTGGGCTCAAGAGAGGGTCTTCTGGGGAGCATGAGGGTGCAGCTCAGTGACTGCAGTGGCCCTGGCCGTCTTCCCGGGTGAGTCCTGAGGCGGCCTGCTTGCTGCTGCTGCTGCTGCTGTCCCCACTGAACAAGACCCTGCACTCAGCAGAACTCTCAGAGAGCAGCGCTGGTCAGCGTGGGCTGGGCTCCTCCCGTGCTCCCGTGCGTGCGTGTGTGTGTGTGTGTGTGTGTGTGTGGAGGGGGCACTGGCCTCACGCTGCACACCTTGCCCTGGCTCAGGACTCCGTCCTTTCAGTACATCCAGCGTGGGCAGGCTGAAGACATCCCCTCCTGTCCTGCCTTCCTGTGCTGTCCCCGCTCCTCGGTGGTCTCTGCCTGTCTGCCTGTGGCCTCCCTCTGCCTGTGGCCTAAGTTGAGCCTCTCTTCCCCCAAGGAGAAAGGAAGTGGTCCTTCCTCAGATACCCTGCTCCCAGGGAGCTGTGAGGCAGCCACCCTGCTCGTCCTGCGGGGCAGAGGCCCGGGAGAGCACGGGCCTGAGCGGGTGTCTGGGGTCCTGCTCAGCGGGGGATGCACCCTGTGGTTCAGTCCCCTTGGCCCTTGGAGCACTGATCTGGAACAGATGAGCGAAGAGGGGGTGGCGCGCAAGGACGCCCACCTGGCCGTTTCTTCCTGAGCACGTGGCCCACACCCACCACATGGAACAATCTGCGTATCTGCCTTGCAAAAATTAGCCTTTGAAAACAAAAGGGAACTTCCGTTGAATGTTGACTTGCTGTGTGCGTGCGCTTGCACCGGCCTGCGCGTGTGTTTACTTCATGGAATTTCATCGTCCTGAAATTCCTTTCCAGTTATGTAGCAGAATTCAAAACCCTGGCCGTGGCTAATTTGGAGCGCTTGTGTTTCTCAGTGGAGCAGGGAGGTGGTGGAAGGTTGGGAGACACTGAGGTTTTGCTCATTTCCGCTGTTTCCCTCCATCTGGGAAGGGGCCGTGGGCTCCTCTGCCTCCTCTGTGGTGCCATGGCTTGGCAGCCCCCCTCTTCCGTTTTCAGGCTTCGGTTTATCGCATCAATGGCTGGTGTTTTTCTGCTGTGAGCTTTGGAGCCGGTCACACCTCATGGGCTGAAAGACCCACCCGGGGAAGACTCTGGTTTGACCGGGGGCCCCTCCTCCGGCCTGCGTCCCTGAGCACGCCTCTGCCATCACCAAGCGTGTCCCCACCGCCTGTATTCAACACTACAATGCATTTGTAAAACTATATTTGCATCCAAGACAATAAAGAAAACTTATTTTTTTGAAAAGCCTGTGCTGTGTGGTTTTAAGTGTCGCCCTGCAGAGCAGATGGCAAGAGCCATGCAGGTGTGCTGGCTGGCTCCTCTCCAGGGTCGCGGGGTCAGCCTGAAATGGAGTCGGCGTTGGGGAAGAGACACGAGGTGGGTCCAGAGGAGTGGTGGTCCTGGAGAGGCCTCCATTCGAAGGGCCAGTGACAAGCCCCTGATGTGACAGACTGCCTGGGGCTCCCCAGGGTTCAGTAACCCATGGAGCAGTGCCAAGCAAGTGCAGGCTGCCGAGGCATGGCCAGTGTGGGTTCCAGATCCTGGCGATGGCCTCGGTCATCATGGTCTCCCTGTGGACCCTGGGAAGCTGGCCATGGAGTTGTCCCTTTGTTTAGGTGCCTGTGCCCTGTGCCCTCCACTGCAGCTCCCAGGGCCTCCACAGGGCGACCCAGCGTGGAGCCAGCCCTCGGCGGCCTGTTTGCTCCCACAGCTGCCCCAGTTCATCTCCTGATGACTGTTGTGTGAGCAAGCCCACTCCTGTCCCAGGGGAAAAAGGACTCATGACACAAAGCAAGACCTTGGGCCCAGACCCGGTCCCTGGAAAGGTGAGTGGTTCTGGGGGTTTCCTGGGGCTGGAAGGAAGTCCTTTCCCATTGAGCCAAGCAGCAAGCATCTGTCTTGTTCTTTGCAGTGTTTGGAGTCCAGCTCCACGTACATGGAGTCGTAAGACATGCTAGGGGCGTAATTTGAACAAGTTTGAACGGGCCGGGGAGGGCATCGCCGTGCGAGCGCCCAAGACAGAGGCAGAAGTGTCAGGAAGGAGTGCAGCCAGGCCAGGATGTCAGCCCCAAGCTACGCGTGGCAGCTGCAGCCGTAGCCCGTGCCTCTGAGCCACCCGCACACTGCTGCAGCCGATCGCCCTGTTTCACAGAGGAGGAAACCAAAGCCGTTCCCGAGGTAACCCGACAGAGAGAAGGCCACAAGGTCCTGTCTGTCTTGCCCGCGACAGTGCCCTCTCTGTCCTGCTGCTGCTGAGCCGGGTCCTGGAGAAGCATGCTCTGTGGCCACCCCTCCCCTGACAAGAGCTCCCATTAGGTTTTCCTAGGCAACCCCAGGGCTCTCCCAGGGAGACCCCGCCCACCGCCTTGCTCCCTCCCGCTCCGTTTTCTGAGCACGTCGGGTTTGCTCTAGTTCTGTTTCTCTTTTAAGGTTTTCCCAAGGCCTGTTTCCTCCAGCCAAGCCCTTCCCCCATCTCTAATTCTTTTCCCAGAGTTCCTGTTTTTCTTCAGGTCTTTCCTTAACCAGCCATGATATTCCTGGCATGCGTACACTCACGTGTGTGCACACACAGGGGGTCAGGTCACTTGGTTTCTCCTCCTCCGCACAACTCTGAGCCCACGAGGACAAGCACAGAACTAGCACGCGGCAGATGCCAGCAGGCAGAACCAGCGCTGCCCCAGGCTCACATCCTTCGGGAGGATGGGCTGGGGGAGGGGGTTCTGGGCAAGACCTCAGGATGGGGAGACGGGGATTCGCAGGGCAAACTTCAAGGTCTGAGACGCCACAGTCATTTTAACAACTTCACTCGAGTGACTCAGCTTGTAGACACAAGGGTAGTCTGAAGCGTTCCTCGCGACGTGGACTTGATCCTGCAGAGTGGTTACCTGCAGTGTTGGTCTCTCTCTGTGGTCTGTCGGGATCTGAACTGAGACGTGGTGTGGTCACACTTGTCCTAAGTTGTAGTAAGTACGCTTTCTGCCTTTCCAGTTGAGCAGAGCGTCAGCGTACGTGGAAGTAGAGAGCAGTGTGACGAGCCCCGCACAGCCTTCATCCGCCTTAGCAAGCTGGGGCCGACCCGGCAGTGCCACCTCCTCTCTGCCCACCCCCCGCCTCCCGCCCCAGTCATTCCAGAGCCTGTCCCCGACCCCGTGTGTCCCCAACAACAGTGTTCCTTCCAGAATTGCAAGAATCCTGCAATGTTGGTCATGTAAACTCTCCCCAGGGCTGTGAAAAGCCCCAAGGCCACAGTCAGGTCACTGTTTAGAGGGAGCGGCTTTTGAAGCTAAGAGGCAGCTCTCCTGCCTAGATGGGTTTGGTAATCCCTGAATCCAGTCTGGAGACACCAACAGGCTGGTTGGTTCCATTACAGTGGGGCTGGGGCAGCGGTAGCAGATCTTCCTCCCCGTTCCACTCACCTGTCCACTGCCCTCGTGCCATCCTGGTGGTGTCTCCCCAGTCCCCCATGCCGGCCAGCCATGGCAAGTAGCCGAGACACCCCGAAGTTTCCCCGGTTTCTGTCCCTGCTCCCCTAACACTCGCTGTGCTCGCCAAGATTTCCTTCCCTCCCCGTCCCCTCATCAAGACGTACATCCCGAAGTCTGGATGCACATCTGTCTCCATTCCAAGCGCGGGGCACTGAGATTGGATAGGAGCAGCGCTGACCAGCGCCGAGGGGGCGAGGGGGCGAGGACTGAGCCAGGAGGGCAGGATGACAGCGCTGAGTAGGGAGCGCAGCCTCCACTGCTCTCAGCCTCTCTCTGAAGCCCTCCTGGGTCCTGCCCCTGGGGCTTTTTGTCATTTGTTATCAGTTATCTGCTCTGCCTCTTGCATTCTTCTGTTCCAGTGACTCATTTCTCTGTGTTCATGTTTCTCTTTCTCAAATCTCTGCTTCACACCAACTTGCCACTTTCAGCCTCCCCTCCCGAAAGCCTGGCTGTCCTCAAATGCCCAGGCTCTCCCTGCCTCCCCCCACAGCCCCCCACCCCCACTGCCATCCCAGAAACCTCCTACCTGGACAACTAGAAGATTCTCCACGTTTCAGCTCTTGCTTCCCGTTACTCAACCCACCACCAACTCAACTAGGATGATCTTTCTTTATTATTATTATTATTATTATTTAAAGACTTATGCATGTATTTGAAAGGCAGAGTTGGGGGAGGGTCTTCCAGTCACTGGTTTACTCCCCAGATGGCCACAACAGTCAGCTGAGCCAGGCCAAGGCCAGGAATCAGAAACTTCATCTGGGTCTCCCACGTGGGTGGCAGCGACCCAAGAACCTGGGCCAGCTTCTACTGCTTTTCCAGGTGCGTTAGCAAGGAGCTGGATGGGAAGTGGAGCAGGCAGGACAGGAACTGGTGCCCATGTGGGATGCCAGCATCACAGGTGGTGGTTTAACCCACTGCACCACAAGACCAGCCCATAAGGCAGTCTTTTTCAAGATGCTTACAATGGATTACAGCCTTCCCTGCTTAAACACCTCAGCGGCTTCCTGTTGCCTATTTTTTTTTTTTTTTAAGGTTTACTTATTTATTTGAAAGGAAGAGTGAGAGAAAGAGAGAGAGGGAGGTTCCATCCACCTATTCACTCCCCCAGATGGTCACATGGCCAGGACTGGGACAGACCAAAGCCAGGAGCCAGAAGCTTCTTCCTGGTCACCCATGTGGGTGGCAGGAGCTTCAGAACTTGGGTTATCTTCCTCTGCTTTACCAGACACATTATTAGCAGGGAGCTGGGCCAGAAGTGGAGCACTGGGACTCAACCCGCACTCATACGGGATGCAGGCATGGCAGGCAGTAGTTTAACCCGCTGTGCGCTGTAGTTTAACCCGCTGTGCCACAGTGCTGGTCCCTCCTGCACTTAGAATGAAATTCTGATCCTAAGCTATCGTCTCTCATAATCTGGCTCCTGACTCCCCTGGGTGAGTGACAGCTGTCGTGCACCTGGGTGTCTCCGGTAAAACGTGGGCGATCATCACAGCTGCTCGACAGCCTGGCCTGGCCTGACCCCTGCACTTTGGACTCCCAGCAGCCACCACTGCGCCTTACTGTGCCTTCGTCACTCGCCGCCTTCTGCTCAGTAGTGCAACTGCTGGTCCCCCTCCTCCCCCCAACAGGAACCACGTCTCCCTCTATCAGCTATCTACCATCGCGCAGCCCCTGCCTCCTGGGCATCCCGTAAGGGCGTGATTTAAATCACATCTACTGCTACCTTGCCAGGGCGAGGAGCAGCAGCCTACGAAGTAGATGCTATTACTGTGCCCACTCTAGAGATAAGGAATCGAGGCTCAGAAGGTTATGCAACTCGCCCAGCATCCCTGCCACCCAGTGCATAGCTGAGCTGTAGTCCTGGGTGTGTCCAACCAAAGCCGAGAGCTGCGCCCTCCTCCAAGTGCGCCAGCCCCCACCCAGACATCTTCAAAGGAGCTGGTAGAAGTGGGATTATCCTCCTGACTTTACCCATCACAAGGGCACTCAACACCAGGAGCTGATATTGCATGTGATGGAGGAAGATCAAGGAACAAGACAGGCATGGCCACGCTCCCATGCTGTCCTGGGCAGCTGGGCAAGACACAGAAATGCCAGGCACTCAAATGCCAGGCACACAGATGGGAGAGGAAGGAGTACAACTGGCTTCTCCCCTCCAGTTCCTCACTAGGCCCAGTGCCTCTTGAGAGTGGCGCGGCTGTAGACAGTGAACCCATCTCTCTGTGCGCCGACACGGGGCTGGCGCCCGTGAGCCCTGGGGGCCACGCCACACACACACCGACCTGTCAGAGCTAGGGAACGCGTTTGGCAGGCTGTAGGGCACAGATGAGCGTGGAAAATCGCTGCACAAACTGAAGTGAAGAAAGCAAGTCCGTGCACCAGGTACTTGGAAAACTTCATGGGAAATGGAATTCAAAGATAAGTTTGTTTTTGTGCAAAAAATTTTGAAATTCTTGCATCAGAGGTGTCATCAGTTCATGGAAGCGCATATTAGGGGAAAAAACTAAGCATGGAGTTCAAACATGTTTTACACCGAAGTAAATTTATCTTTTAACGAAATGTTTCTTGGGCCAGCCTTGTGGTACAGTGGGTTAAGCCACCATCTGCCACGCCGGCATGCCATATCAGAGCTGTGGTTCAAGTCCCAGCTGCTTCACTTCTGACCCAGCTCCCTGCTCTTGTGCCTGGGAAACCAGTGGAAGACGACCTGAAGACTTGGGCCCCTGCTACCCACATGGGAGCCCTGGAAGAAACTTCTGG